GTTTTTGGTTTTATCTAAGGTGTCTTTTCTTAAAGATAGGATCTTTATGATCTTTTAGTATGTTCTTGAAGTGGGTTTGGAAGGTGAGCCTAGTGAGAAGCTTGTTGAGGTGTAAAGTGAAGTCTTTAGTCTACAAGAGGTAACCCATGCTCTATAAAATCTATTTTGCTTACCTATGTGAATATTTCTTGGATTCTACATGTGTTTTGCTATGAAATGTGAGTGTTTATGCATTGTCTTGTGAAAATGCATATCTAGAGCTTGTGTTTAGGGTTCTTGTATGCCATTACTTTGCTATTCCTTTGATTCAAATCATTTTGTTGTATTTGGTGAGATTTGGCATGTTTTGGACGTGAATTTGAGTTTGGAGATGAAAATCCGCGAAGTGATTTATTGTGGTACAAGGGTGTACCCGCGGGCGGAACGGCGGGTAGGGGTCCAACCCACCGCCCACCCGCGAGGTACACGTTGTTGAAGGGCCTGTACCCGCCGGCAGGACCACGGGTAGGGGCCTACCCGTGGGCCCACCCGCGGGGTACACAGTGTGGTTGATTGGGGATTTGTTCCCCGTGATTCTTTTGACTCGGTATTTGGTCTTTTGACTTCTCGTTGTTCTTTTGTGGAACGATTTGAGTGTCTTCTTGATGTTTCGTATGTCTAGAACTATATGGTAGGAATCCATGCAGGTTTTGGTGTCTTGAATCGTGCTAAGTGTTCAACATTGTGTTTCGTTGAACCGTGATGAGTCTTGTGTGTTCTTCAGAACTACGTTTGGTTTACCCGTTTGATAAGCATGCTAGTTCGATGTTTGAATGCTAGCATGTGTGTTGTTTGTACCTTCTTATGGGTTGATGATAACTTGTGTTATTCATCGTTGTTGTTGTGGACTGTGATCCATTCCTTGATTGAGTATGGTTTCATATCTTCGTTGTGATCCGTTGATTGATTCCTGTTGTGGTGTGATGCGTGTGTAGCTTTACCTGGATTGCACGATTAGTGGTATGAGACACTAGTCACCAAGGTATTGCAGTGGTCCTCGTGGTGGCCATCACGTGATTATGGAGTTGTGACCTTTGTGTAAGGTTCACGTATTTCTTGGGAGGCATGTGTTGCCGTATGTGTGTACGGTACCCTCGTGTACTATGAATTTGGTGGTTTTGTTGGAGGGACTTTTGGAGGGGGAACGACGGTTCCCGGTGGAATAAGGTTGGACTTGGTGTACAGGGGTCCTGGAGGTAAAGGTTGGAACTAGATATAAGGTTGGGGGTAGCCATAAGGTTGGAACCGGGCATAAGGAAGGCATATCAACTCGTGATGGGTGATGTCACGAGGGCTTGTGTAGTTCTCTTCTTGTGACGTGTGTAGTCACAAAGGCATGTGTTGCCTAGGCATGTGTTTCCGTTAGTCTTGTCTTTATCCTTTTGAGTTGTTGTTGTCCTTTGTGGTCTTGGGATGTGTTCCTGTGTTCTTGTTGAGAGCGTGAGTCTTGTGTTGACTATTACTCTTGGTTTTTCACTTATATATATGTATTCCGTTTCGCAAATGATTTTGCAAATGTATATCTTACCTATGTATGATATTTCACATGTATTGGTGGGTTACCAGCATTATTCGCTGACCGGGCGTCGTCCCATGTTTTATTGTGTTCTTTCCGGTGATGTCTAGACGTGTGCGCGGTCTAGTGCTTGCTAGTATAGCTTCTCCCTTTCGTTTTGTGGCCTGTGTGCCAGCTTAGATATAGAACTTTGAGACAATGGGTTTAGATGTAAACATTGCAGATGTTGCCGGTGCGTTCATCCTTTTGGTGAACGTGGCATAACACCCCATGTTCCGGATTATGTCTATCTATCTATCTTTCAGCCTTCCGCTGTGTTTGTTGTTTAGTTCAGTTATCTGCATGTTTAAGGCTTTTAAATAGCATGTTTTTAAGGGGGTGTTACATGTTTAGTTAAAAACACAATTGGACCATCACCTGGTTCCTCTAGATCAGGCGTAGCTTCCTGTTCTTCAACGGTAAAGGCAATGGTTTTTTACTTTTTAGTGTGATCATCAATGATTTCCATTTCATAAGTTTGTAGAATTCCCATTAATTGAGCCACTGACTTATTTTCCCAACCATCATGTTCTTGTATAGCAGATACCTTCATCTTGAATCGTGGTGGTAGAGACCTTAGGATTTTTTGACCAGCTTCGGTTTGGAGAAGGGTTCTCCAAGAACCGTTGGACGATTGACCAATTCTTGGACATGGCCATGGAAACTTATAATGGTTTCATCCTCATGCATTCGAAGTTCCTCAAATTCGGACTGGACTAGTTGCAGTTTCGATTGCTTAACTGAACGTGTACCTTCGTAGGTTGTTTCACGTATCTCGCATGCAACTTTTGTTGAATCAATACCTGTAACCAAAAAAAATTGGCTTTCATGCATTAATGAATAAATCGTGTCAAGTGCTTTATCATTATATCCAGCATTGGTTATTTCAGTTTGAGTCTATTCAGTTTCAGGTTTTGTCACTCGGGGATCCTCTGAAGTAGGTCCAGCCTTGGTATGATGTGTTCACCCTCTTAAAACACAACGCCAAACGAGTTCTCGTGCGGGCTTTCCAATAGGCGTAGTTGTCACCTGTTAACTGGGGAGGAGGCTTAAATCGATCCATCCTGAAACACTTAACACACCTTGAGATTGAACAAAGCAATAAAAGAAATAACACTAAAAACCGCTAAAAGCTTGAGTTCAAGAGACACAGAATAGCCAGATCGATAAACTAATAAATTAAGTCTTCGGGCTCTAATATCAATTAAAATTAATTAAATCGTGGGTCTTGAGTGCAAGTCAATACTTAAAGTTCTACTTGGTTTTAATTAAGGAAGTAACGTACCATTAATTATGTCAATTTTGAATGAACAAATAACAAATTAAAGGTAAGAAATTAAAATCCGGAACACAGAAATTGATCACGTAGTTCAGAGCAAAATCATCTATGTCTGCAGGGCAACTCACGTCAGCCCAATCTACTAGATGTTCACTGAGATTACAAGGGGGTTTGTATACACACAGCCTTAGCCACAACAACCAAATTTAATATTCACAACATCTAAATTAGGAGAGGATCGTGCATGCCTATTTGGTTATTTCTTCTTCAGGCGCAGATACAAGCATACAGCTGAACCAGCTTCAGGTAGATTGATCCGGCGAGATCATCTCTTCAATCTAAAATTATAATCTGATAAATTGATTTAATATAAATAGAATATCCCTCTAAATAATACCTCTGAAATCCGTGAAGTGAAATGATAAAGAAACAATCATTTTATACTTGTTTTTCATCAAACCAACTTTCCCAAATAATTGCTGATCACAACCCATTGATAATAGATCAGACCAACTGAAATTGGTTAGAAGGCCACTGAAGGATCTACGCGACTAAGATCGAGCATATCCAGAGGCTGTGCTAGAATGCTGAGATATAACTTGATAGGAGTCGGTCCAAAGATTATAACTAAAATAAATTCGAACCTTTGACAAATAAATTAGCCAATAATTTATAATAAAGTTTAACGTGTATCATTTATACACTTATAGGATTGAATTTAATTAAACTCATTTTGTGACTTATATCAAAATGTATGAAATGTTCTTGCAAAAGAAAAAAGAAAAAAAAAAAAAAAAAAAAAAAGAAGCTATGTATATATCATAATTTTATTCCTTCCCGAACAATTTGCTTGATTGCTATAAATAGTATAGTATTAAATTCTTTGTGGGTTATTATAATTAGCAAATGAAGATTTCGTACTTGTAAAGAAGATTTGGCGTATGTAAGGAAAGAAGATTTCTCTACCAAACGTAAAAACTCTCCATCAAAAGAGAACTCTAAAAGCATTTTGTACACTAGTTATTGCTTAAAAAAACAAATAAACAAAAAAACAAAAAACAAAAAAAAAACAAAACAAAAACTGAAGACAAGATACAGACAAAAATATTGCATGAGCATACCCAAAGCCAAGGATCGAATTGAACCCTTGACCTCTGATTAAGGATAGATGAATCCCTTCCGCTCAAGATAGACAAAAAATATTAGAGACTAGTTAACACATTGAAGTATAATTCATATATTATTTTTTTTTTTGAAAGCAGTTCATATATATATATATATATATATATATATATATATATATATATATTAAAGCATTCATATATTAATTTATTTATGGAAAAAATGCATTTTCAACTTCTCAATAGTTTCTTATTTGCCGTTTTAGTCCTAACATTTTACCATTACAATATACACCCTTACAGGGCGTTTGGTTGGAGGGATTTTAAATTCTCTTTCCACTTAATTCCCACCTAATTTCAAAAGCCATTAAATTCCGTAGTTTGGTTGGAGGGAATTACAATTCCTTTGGAATTGCAATTCTCCCATTTTCATGGAATTAAAATATCATGTCCCCCCTAGTATTTTAATTCCTGGAAAAAAAAAAGATAGTGATGAGTCAAACTTATACCTTCCTTTTTTAGCCTAAAATTAATGTCTAACAACAATAATGGACATTTTTGACTTTATACTACTTATTCCCTTTCAATTCCTATGTATACCAAACATTGGAATTGAAATTCCCAGTAATTCTATTCCTGTCAACCAAACACTGGAATTTAAATTCCCACTTTATTCTCAATAATTCAACTCTCATGGAATTGCAATTCTTTTCTCACATAATTCCCCCTCCAACCAAACGCCCCGTTAATTCTTCAAAAAAATTATAATTTTAACCATGGATCATAAAATTATTAAACTCTACTAAAATAATACTTAGTACATACATGGTATTTTAATAATACTTTTTAATATTTTTCATTTACTTATAATTTTTTTTAGTCTCTATTTTTCATTTGTAAAATAAAAAATTTAGGAAAAAATAGCAACGCTGTACCATAATTGTTTTATTTAATTTACAAAAATCATTTTTTTTATTGGCTCTACCATGCTATTTTTATTATTATTCTAATTCCGGAATTTTCTTGATGCAGCTTGAAGCCTAATCTGCGTATTAAATCGTTGAATGAACTCCTCCACTCTTCTATTCAACTCCTCCACAGACATGTCCGAAAACTCATTGTTTTCTTCGACGTTTTTAAGGTTATATTTCTCAGACTGTGACCTTTGAAGACCATTATTATTCCTCTTCTCCTCCTCCTCCTCCTCATTTTCTTCTAAAACAATCCCTACCTCCGAATTGCTTCGTCCACGTTTCGCCTCTTTCTTCGCTCCTCGAAAACTCTCACAGTCGTAGCATTTTTCTGAGTCATTGTTTGTGACGGTTCCCATTTCTTTAGCGACGACTTCATGTTCTTCGTTTCTCGCTGCTGCATGGGAAATCACGCATTTGATCTCTTCGGGTGGTGTGATCTCAGGAACCACTTTCTCTTGAGTGTTGTTTTTCTCAACCGAGTTTCGACGTTGCATGTGGCCTTCAAAGGAGGGAGAAAAACAGGCAGTTTTGGGTCCCGCCGTTTTAAGGTAATCTTGGTAGAAATCATCGGACTTTCTCGACGAAAAGAAAACACTGAAATCGGCTGCGATGATGAGGATAAGAGTGTTGGATATGAAGAACCAGAACTTGGTGCTTCTTAAAAGATTCATTGGGGAGAGTTTGAAGGTGTAGAATATGGAAATATATATGAAAATGGATAGGAGGAAAGCCCAGAACGAAATCCCATTTGATTTTTGATGTTTCTTTCTGAATTTGGTGGGATTTTCTGATAAGTTTGTTGGGTGCGCCGCGGCTGTCTCCATGTTCTGAGACGCAGGTGGTGTGGCGGGGAGCGGCGGGGGTGGGGGGGAGGGAGTGTGGGGAAGATGAAGTTGGTGAAGGGAGTTCCAAAGGAGGAGGGAATATATAGAAGGGGAAAACTAGTGACCGGGGAAAAGGACTAGTGAGCTGTAAGATTTGATTAAGGTGGCTAATAATTGAATTCATGCAATTACGTAGGAACCCTTCTAAACTAGGATATCCCATCATTGTACTCAATTTGGACAAAATCCGAACATGTTAAAATTTGACATAAATTCAATTATAAATCAGCAATCAACTTATGCCTTTTAATATATATATATATGTATAATCACAATCACACAAGTGACGAAAGCCTAATCTCATGTAAATTTGTTAGTCATTTTGCATCTTTAATTTTTTTTTTTTCTTTAATAGTCACATGGAATAAGGTTAGGAGTTAAATTCCTACATCCTGAGGCATATAGCACAATAGCAAAGGGTGATCCTATTGATGGCGGTGCCCCCTTGAAATCACAGGTTTGATTCATGCCTGCTGCGTCACACATTCCATGATTTACCTCCTCCACAAGACCACAAGGCTCTATGACAAGGGCAATAGGACACCCGTGAGCAATTACTCCTGGTAGTATTTTTTTTTTTTTTTTTTTGGAGAAATTGTATTTTTCAATTATTTTTATTTTTGATTGTTCACTTTGTAAATTTAGTTTTTGTTGTGTCATGATTTTTTTTTTCTTTCTCAATGTTGTGTTTCTAGTTTTTAATTTTGTCATAATATCTCTTGTTTTTTTTTTTTTTTAAAGCAATATCTCTTGTTTGTCTCTGTGTTATTATTTGCTTTTGGGTTAACGTTTGCAAAATTGAACTAGACTAATTTAGGAAATGACTATTGAAAACAAACAGAAGTTGCTAGGACAAAGATAGAACTAAAAGAATGCAACATCGAAGACTAAAATTGCATCTTCATAACACAACTTAGGATTACACTCACACCACTGGAGACCAAACTAACTAGTGCATATGATGAGAACAATAATTCTGTCAAGAATCTCATATTGATCAATTTAATTTACAAAATACAGGAAAAGAAGTATTTATAAGAGTACAACGATTTGTCCTTGTCTTGATAGGAAAGATAAAAGGTATATTTTACAATAATACAATAAGAGGGAGAAGGAATGAGATTTTGACTGGCTGACTGCGGAGAAAGAAAACAAGCTGAGTTATCAAAAATAGATAGTTTGAGGAAGTAAGTTTAATGGAGATAAAATGAGGGACTTTCTTCTTTTGGGTATTTTTTGGGGCGGAAGGAAGAGAGGCAATATCTAAGATGAGGCAAGAGGAGGGGGCCGTTGTAGCAATTTCGTAGACCACCAGTGGCAGCGGCGATGTTGGTACGTAGCATTAGCAGTCATGAACCGTTTGTGAGTAATTTTTTTTTTTTTAAATCGATATTGCTACTTATTCTCTATAGACTATTATAATTGAATATTTATTTTAATTATTTTTAGTATAATATGCGTGTTCTATTTGAGAATTGAAAGTTGAAGATTATTGCATTTTAATTTAATTTAATAATCTTTAATTTCTTTTTATTGAGATATTAGATTTGACTTTGAAACCTCCTAAAAAATAAAATATCTGGTTCAAAATTTATTTGATAAAAGTGATTATTTTGATTGTAATTAACACGTAAAAAGAATGTCGAAGCACTTAACAGTTAACATCATAAGTCTATCACAACTTTACACGGTGGCCTTGGTGATGTCATGATAACGTGTACATTTTGTTACGTTTATCAAGAATTCAAAGACCAATATATATATAGAGGTGGCATAATTACATATAACATATATGTTTTTTTTTAAAAGAAGAATTAAGAATCAATCACAACTATCTATTTAAAAAAATATGAGTTAATACCCAAAATCGTCCTCGACTATAGTAGTTTTTCTCAATTTCATCCTAAACGACATTGGTGACCTAATATCGTCCCAGACTTTTGTGTTTCGCTCAATTTAGTCCTCCATTTGTTATTCCGTCAAATTGGTGTTAAATAAAGGGACAATTCAGTAATGTCAATATTGATCTCGCTTTACTTTCAACTTGTGAAGTGCGAAATTCCTCTTTCTTGTACGAATTACACCCAGAATTACTCCCGAACCTGCAAATCAAATTTTATATTCACAGTTTTAGGAGTAATTCTGGGGGTAATTCGTAGAAAAAAAAAAGATTTCGCAGTTCACATGTCTATGAGTAAAGAGATGCCAATATTAAAATTACTGAATTGTATATTTATTTAACACCAAATGGACAGAATAGCAAATGAGGGACTAAATTGAGCAAAAACACAAAATTCTGGGACTAAATTGAGCGAAACACAAAAGTCTTGGACGATATTAGGTCACCAAAGTCGTTTCGGACGAAATTGAGAAAAACCACTATAGTCGAGGACGATTTTGGGTATTAACTCAAAAAAATATAACATATTTGAAGTAATTAAAAAAAAAAAAAAAAAACTGCATTGGCACTTTTATAATTTTTTCCAATTTAAAAATGTAATTCGTAACATATATAGTGTAATTTTTAACAATAATATAGAGTACATTTATGGATAAATCCTAAAATCGAGACCAAAACACTAAATCCCTAAACCTATATCATAAATATTAAATCCTAAACAGTAAAAAGTGAACTTCTAAACTAAATTAAAAGTGATATATACAAAAAAAAAAATTAAAAAAAATAAAAAAATTGACTCATTAAATCTAAAAAATGAACTTAAAGTACCATCACTTTTGTTCTCTCTGTGCTCTAGAACTGTTAGATCTATCCATATAAATAGTTGATATTGGTTCTTAGTTTCTCCTCAGAACAAGTTCAAATGTGATCATTTTCCTATATGTGTGCGTGCGTGAGTGTTTCCAAGAGAACACTACATCAATGACAAAAAATAAAATGCAGTGACATTTTGATAATTTTTTCCAATTTTAAAGTGCAACAAATCGGAACAATACAAAGCACAATTTGCAAAATATACACTATAGTATTAATTGCAAATTAAAGCACACTTTTACATTAACTTTAAAGCACACTTTATAACAATATACGATGGACTTTGCAATATTGCATAGTGCACTTTCACATAACATTAGAAGAACTTTGTAGTCTTGCAAATTGCACCATATAGTGATTCATACTACACTTTAAAAATTAAAACTTGTTAATAAAAGAAAACTAAGAATTAAACTCAGCCGCTCATCTACCAAAATCTAACAGTTCTAGATTAAAGTAAGAATAAAAACGTAATGACATTTTGATAAATAGTTCAAAATTTTTAAGTTCGCTTTGCAACATTATACGGTGCACTAATGCATCGTTATACAATGCATTGCGCCCAATGTGAAAATGCAACACACTTAGGATTCACTTTTTGAGTTATGATTTAATTTAGTTCTTTTTCTTTTTCATATAGAATTTTGTTTTTTTTAGTTTATTTTAGGGGTTCGCATTTTACTTCTTAAGATTTATCATTTATGGTTTAGCTTTAGGGTTTAGTTATTTTATTTAAACATTAAGGTTTTTCAACAAATACACTTTATACCGCATTACAAATAACAGTTTGTAGTGTTGCTCCCTGTACTTTGAAAGTTTAAGAAAATTAGTAAAATGTCACCATTTTTTCCCTCTAATTGCTTCATATAGGTTAGTTGAGATTGAGTCTTAGTTTTTTCTTAAAAATATGTTCTAATCTGAGAGCGTTCATATATATATATATATATATATATATATATATATATATATATGTCTTGGATCAGGTGCGAAGGATGCCTCAGGTGAAAAATGTGCACAAATCTCAGCCATTAAATTCATCCAAATCTACAACTCTTTAAAAAAAAAAGTTACACTTCGAATTAACAAAAATTGTGCATTTGAAAGCATAAAAATATGCACTTGAAGACTCAAAAATGTGCATTTGAAGGTCAAAATTCTGCACTCGAAGGCACAAAGATGTGCAATCGAAGCAATTTAAGGTACCAAAAAGGAAAGTTATTCAATTTAAGTGTTATGGAAGCAATTGCACATACAAATCATTTGTAACTCTCACAAATTGCATTAGAAATTTAGTTATAGATTATTGAAAAGAAGTCAAAATATATAATAAACACTTGTCCATAATGATGCACTTGAAGGCACAAATAGGCACTTGAAGGAATAAAATTGTACACTTGAAGGCATAAAATTGTACACTTGAAGGCCAAATTCTGCACACGATGGCATAAATATGTTCAATCAAAGCAATTTATGGTAGCAAAAAGAAAAGTTATTCAACTTAAGTGTTATTATTGAAGCAATTGCCCATACAAATCATTTGTAAATCTCACAAATTTAATTAGAAATTTAGTTATAGATTATTGAAAAGAATGAAAAACATATAATAAACATTGGCCCATAAATATGCACTTGAATGCACAAAAATGTGCACTTGAGAGCACAAAAATGTCCACTCTAAAGCCAAATTTTTGCACTCAACGTTATAAAGATTTGCACACAAAGGAAAAACTAAGTACTGAGACAGATCATATGTACTCGAACCAGAGACATCTTTGGGAGGAAATCCCAGTTATTGTTGGCGAAGTATTATGGCAGCCAAACAACTGGTTTGTAATGGGGTCAGGCGACGTATTGAGAATTGAACTACTACACTCATATGGGAGCACCCATGGCTTCAGGATGATACGGACCCGATGATTCATACTGAGATGCCACCACAGCTGGCTGGGTCTAGGGTGATGGGTTTGATTGATCAAGAAACTGGCCAATGGGACCACCAGATCTTAATTGATATATTCGAACCAGATGATGTGCCTAGGATTTTAAAAATACCAATTTCACCAAAATATGAGGATACGTGGTATTGGCATGGGGACCCAAACGGAAATTATTCGGTCAAGGATGGGTATAAATTGATAGTTGGAAATTATGGCACCCTTACTAATGGGAATTTTGATAAATGGCTCAACCTATGGGGCCTGAAAATCCCACCCAAATGGAAGATATTTTTATGGAGAGCTTTGAGTGGTATACTTCCTACAACCGATAATTTGCTTTTAAAGAGGGTTGAAGTGGACCCGACTTGTGCTATGTGTGGTGTGGATCATGAGAGTATAATGCATTCATTGGTATCATGTGACTATGCTAGGTCCATATGGGCACAATCTAACCTTCCAATCCCCAATATTATAACGGATAGTTTTCATGAATGGTTTAGTGCATTATTAAATGTTCTAGACTCTAATGAAATTATGTTTGCAGCTGCAATCCTCTATCACTTATGGAGGGCACGAAATGGAGCGGTTTGGGATGCTTGTCTCCAAAGACCCACGAAGATCCTGGCTATCGCAACTACAACTGTGCACGCATGGGTCCGTGTCCACCGGCTAACTGCCGTGCCACCCCAGACCGGACAGCCGCCTCCCGCGGATAATCAAGTCCCCCCACAGCACTCTACACTGGCGACGCACAGTCCACAGCACACTGCCGGATCATCACAGTAACCCCTAAATCCGCAGCCGGTCCAATGCTACATCGACGCCGGGTACCGGCATCAAACCAACACGGCAGCGGCAAGTGCGATCTTATTTGGTAATGGCGAGTATCTCTCGGCTTTTTGTGCTCCACTCACAGCATGCTTCTCCCCCCTGATGGCCGAAGCAATGGCGTGCAAGGAAGCGCTTGCGTGGTTACGAGATCGTGGCGAGCATCTGGCACGGGTATATACGGATTGTCATATACTGCAACGGCACCTAACTTCATCCGTGTCTATACCCCGATCATACGTAGGTTACGTTTTACAAGCCTGTAAGGCTCACATGTCAAGTTTTGACACTGCTATTATTAGTTTCGTCTCTAAATCTCAGAATTACTTAGCTCAAAGTTTAGCTTCTACTGCTTTTAATTATGCTACAGCTATGTATTGGGACATTGTTCCCCCGGTTCCATTTCTGCATATCTATAATATAACCATTATGGTTGCTTTCAAAAAATATGTACTCGAAGAAAGGAAAATATGCACTCGAAGAAGGAAAAAAATATGCACTCGAAGAAAAAGAACATCTAAATTAAACTTACCTACTCAAAATTACAACAATGCCACCACGTGTTTTTTAATTCTTCTTCATTTTGAACTGTTGAAGTCATAAAAATGTAACCCTATTTTTTTTTTTACCTAAAGCCTTCCTTCGCATATGATCCAATATATATATATATATATATATATATATATATATATATATATATATATATATATATATATATATATATATATATATATGTGTGTGTGTGTGTGTGTGTGTGTGTGTGTGTGTGTGTGTGTGTGTGTGTGTGTGTGTGTGTGTGTGTGTGTGTGTGTGTGTGTGTGTGTGTGTGTGTGTGTGTGTCCATAATCAGGTGAGAACCTGTGGACAAATCTAAACCGTTGATCTAGTAGATCTAACGGTTGAAAATAAACAAAATTTTGTAATATTTATGAAAATGACCCTGCTCATTTTAAAAATTTGCAATATTTATAAAAATGACACATCTCATTTTTTACTTGATTTCCCATCGATCAGGTCTTGCAGATTAATGGATTGAATTTGTCCACAAGTTCTCACCTAGGATGTGGTTCTGAATTATATATATATATATATATATATATATATATATATATATATATATATATAGGGTTGAGTTCAAATGAGGACAACAATATATAGAGGACTGTGAGGACAAATAATGGGCACACAACAAATTAATACCAGGCACACAACTTAATACATAATGGCACACAAGAATAAATTTAAACATCAGGTTTCGAACCCAGGCTCTATAAATTAACAAATCTAGCACGCAACATACAAACTGTGGCACACGACTACATTTGGCCATGCACACGACATACCGCCTAATGGCACACACTACATCAGTCCTCACAATCCTCTATAATATACTTGTCCTCATTTGAATACACATCTATATATATATATATATATATATATATATATATATATATATATATATATATATATATAGAAGAGCGCTCATATGCGGCGGGGTCTTACGGTGCGGCGGTGCGGTCAAATTCCAGAATACACCAACAGTGTTAACAATATGCACCAACACTGTAATAAAAACACACCCCAATGAAATGTAATAAAACATCACAAAATACACCACAGACTCAAAAAAACACACCATATAACTCACCACCCCCAATGGTGTATTTCCGAACAGTGTATGGTGTTTTTACTCACACCTAATGGTGTGTGTTTGGTGATGCAGGGCTCTGTTTACTCTGTTTTGTGTGGTGTATTTCCTAACGTTGATGGTGCATATTTGGTGAACTATTGGTGTTGCCGCACCGTAAGAAATAACCGCACCGTAAGACACTGCCGCACCTGAACCCGCCTCTATATATATATATATATATATATATATATATATATATATATATATATATATATATATATATATATATATAGTGAAAGGTTCCCGTGCAGTTGTTGCTTCCCGTGCGGATGTGCAGTGAATTAATGTGCGTAAAATTTGTACTCAATGTGCGTGAGTGTTGTGCTTAATGTGTCTGAGATTTGTACTTAATGTGCGTGAATGTGTAAAATGCAGCAGAAAATATTGATGTCAATTTATTCTCCATCCCCAGTAGCCATTTGCCCCCTCCTTGTTGATGATGATGCGGGGGCAAGCTATGGTGGTTAAGAATTATGGGAATAATACAACAGAAATTCACACTTAGCTGCTGTGCAAAATTTACTGTGCGTGCGTCATTTATATAAACATTCAACTTCATTGAAGGTAGCTGATAATCCAGAATCCAATGCCAAATTGAAGGAAGAAGTAACAAGAAGCTTGGGCGTTAATGTGCGTGAGTTTCTGTTCTGCTTCCTTCTGATCGAGCTTGTAATTCTGAAATACTCACGCACATTAAGCACAAATCTCACGCACATTAAACACAATACTCAGGCACATTAAGTACAAAACTCATGCATATTAACATGACGCACATTAAGTATAAACCTCACGCACATTATCCACCGCACATCCGCACGGGAAGCAACAAATGCACCTAATCCCTTCCCTATATATATATATATATATATATTATTTGAAAGCCTCTCTCTCCCTCTCGTAACTATAGTTCTCTTCTACACCACTACTCTAGGATAACACATGAGAGCTAAAATTGTATTAGAGCGACGGGCTCAACCAAGTGATGTTAGCACGATCGAATCAAATTCATAATAACTATCATATATGAGAAAATATGTTCGTTCCCTCCACTTGGTGGCTACCCATTTTATATCACTTTATTTAGGGAAAATGACACTTTTTCCCCCTGAGTTATATACTTATAGCACTTTCCCCCCCTCAATTATTCAAGTGGATGTTTTTTCCCCTAAAATGTTAAATGGACATATTTACCCTTAAAATAAATATTTTATTTATTTTTCTTCTCCAACAAATTATGACCATAATTTGGTTCAAACCAAATAAACACTATAGCAACCAAACCGAAATATTCCAATTACAATTTAGAATCGAAACTCGATATTTAGAGTTTATTAAAATCCCGAAACGGACAGTTCATGTTCCGAACTGAAAAAATAAAATACATTTATTGTTGAATTTAGACTATTTTTAAAATAAAAATAAAATTTTAAAATAAAAACGGTTCAAAATCGCGAATCGGGTCCAGAACCGCCGGTTCACGGTTCATGATCCAATTTTTTTGATTCATAATTTTAATAAATTGAAATCCAAATATTGGGTTCTAGATCTGAATCATAACCGGAAATTTTTAATTCGATTGCTATAATGTCCAATTCAGTTCGAACCGAATCGTGGTCATCCCTACGTATACGCAATAATTTGTTGGAGAAGTAAAATAAATAAAATGTTTATTTGAAGGGTATAAATGTCAATTTAATATATTAGGGGGAAAAACCACCACTTTTAGAATAATTGAAGGGGCTAATGTGTTACCTAAATAATTGAGGGGGGAAAAGTGCTATAAGTATATAACTCAGGGGGAAAAAGTGCCATTTTCCCCTTTATTTATTTATTTATTTTTTTAGTACTATGGACTTTATTACAATGTAGTATATGTTCATACATACTTTCTCAACCCAGTGAAACATAAAGAGTCAATGTCGTCACTATGGTTCAAACATGTGCCCTCCCATTTAAAAGAGTCACAGTATGCTGCTTGACCACAAGGTCTTTTCCCACCTCAATTCTCTGATTGTTTTACTTTTGTGAGAAGAAACCCATGTAAGGTTAGATACTAAATGTCAAGATTTAACAACACATCCAAACTAATTTTATATTTAATATATTATTATACTAAAATTTAAGTCATAAGTCTTCATGATCAATTTGGTATACTATATAATTGAATGAATACATTTCTCGAATAAAATAATGATTTAAAAACTTCATAGATCTTTGGTCATCAAAAAATATATATTTTTATATACATTGAATATAATTAATGAATGTATCCCCTAATGATTAATTGGACGCTACAAACAAATTTTTTTGGTTTTTTTCACACACCTCACCGGCAAGGTCGTCTTGTCATCAAGTTGCCAAGATTTTTTGCAGCATTTCATGCTTCAGCCATTTAATTATTTCATATTCCATAATAATATACGGATTACCTCGCACCACCTATGATAGACTGATAGGGTTTCATGCCTCATGCTTTATTGATTAACCAATCATATTAAGTAGCCAGCTTGTATCTTTATCTTATAAGAGAAGTGTACTTTTCAGGATTGATGTATGCATCTAAAAAAATAATAATGCAATATTGTATTAAAGGTTAGTGTATACTTGTCCACATTTCTTAGTCACGACATTTCACAAGTAACATGAATACATGATCAAATATAAGTTTGAAGTGTTGAGCAATTGGGTTAGTGAGCTGTTTGGTAAATAGCTGTTAGCTGATTAGGTTAGTGGATTTGACTAGTTCATAGCATTAGCTGATTGTAGAGGACTGTTTGGTAAATTAGCTGTTAGTTGATAGCTGATTACATGTAAAAATGACTTTTTCAAAAAAATTGATCGAAAAAGCTGTTCTGAGTCTTTTTTTGAATTTAGCATTTTGGAGCAATAAGCTATTATAAAAAATTAATTAATCAAACACTCGTATTAATTATTTAACCAAGTTAAACAGCTAATAGTCATCAAGTAAGCTAAAATTAGCTGATAAGCTAATTATGTTACCAAAGCGGGCCTATACAAAATATAGAGTTGGTGAAAGCTCGGTTGAGTTATTGAGAAGGATCCTAAATGATAAAATCTCATATATTCTATAGTATAATCGAATTTCGTGTTTTACATTATGTGAATTGGCAATTTATATCATGCACCATGGTGCACATAGCAATGTGCACTCAGACACAAAATGCGCATTTCATGTTGACGTCATGCTGATGTCACTCAGTCCATTCGAACATGATCAAACCTCATTATGTGTATTCAATTAAAATTTTATGTGTATTGTGTTATGAGTTTATGTGTATTCAGTTAAGAGTTTATGTGTATTATGTTAACCAAACCCATTATGTGTATTCAATTAAAAATTTAGGTGTATTGTGTTATGAGTTTATGTGTATTATGTATTATATATGTTAGACTATGTGTATTCTGTTATGAGTTTATGTGTATTCGAAACAGATGCTTTTTTTTTTTAACAACTTAACAAAACGACATCGTTTTGAGATGCGCGGGACGCACAGTGCTATGTGCGCCCTGGTGCACGGTATAACGATTGATGTGAATTATTTAGAGTATGTATTAATCGGATTAATTTGATCTATACATTAATTGAAAATAAATAGAAATAGGAGAAACAAAAATGATAATATATTTACTTATACATTTCTCCGCAAGTTCAAAAAAATAAAAAATGAATTATACAAAATTGGAGTAAATTAAACACAACATATCAAAAAAAAAAAAAAACACAACATTAAGTTTTATGATTTTAAAGTTGTAATTTTTTGTTGCAATATAATTGAGAATATTTATTTTTATTACATAATTGAACATATTTGTTTTTAAAAGTATATTGTACAGATCGAGTAAATGTTTAACAAAAATGTCTTGATGTATAAGCACCAATGCACCATCACATTCATGACTCATGGGGATGGTGATAGAACTTATGCCATTTAACAAAAATGATTGCTTTATTTTCAAAATTCATTTCTTAAATTAAACGTGCGGATAAATTCCATACAAAAAGTATAATTACTAAAAACTCAATTATTACCATAATAAACAAGAAAATGTTCCCAAATAAATGAAGCAAAAAGAAAAAAAGAAAAAAAGAAAAAAAAAAGACCTACTAGATGTAAATAAAGATGGGAGAAGAAAAATAAATCGGATTCTATCAATGTCTTTGGAATTTGATTTAAACCTTTGCAAACAAGAGAGCTTTTATGTTATACAATTCAAACTCCTTTTAAAAGGGTATTATACATATACTTGTGCAAATCAATTTTGAAATCCAATTTGGACAAAAGCTTATCACAAGCCTTTTCATTTTCATTTTTTAACTCAAATGGATCTAATTCGATAATCATTTTCTCATTTACCAATTATTCATTTTGAACATACAGTATATTAATTTCTTCATCTCACATCGAAGAACCAAAATTCAGATTGACTCGATTCCAATCGAAAGTGGTTATATATATATATATATATATATATATATATATATATATATATATATATATGTATGTATGTATGTATGTATGTATGTATGTATGTATGTATGTATATATATATATATATATATATATATATATATATATATATATATATATATATATATATATGTATGTATGTATGTGAGGCCCAATTTACATATTATTTTTCAGGATATATTTGAAACAAAAAATAAGAATTGAGTAATTTAAAGAGGAAATTTCAATTTTGGTCATATGACTATAGATGTCTTGTTAATTTCAGTCTCTGACTTTCAAAAGTGTCAATTTATTACCTTAACTATGCAATTTTTGTCAATTTTAGTCACTCAAGCCAAATTGCCGGTCAAATTTCGCCGGAAAAATTTTAATAGTTAAAATAATGAGGGTATTTTGGTCATTTCACGCCTCTTTTCTTCTTTCCCGGCGAGTCCATCTCTTTCTCTCCCATTTCCGACGTTCTTTATCCCTCTAAACCCTATGTTTAATATCATCAAGCCTCCTTTCCCCATCATCTTAGTTCATTACATCCACCGGAAACGGGAGAGGAAGTGATGGACTTGCGTGGGAAGAAAAAAAGAGACGTGAAATAATCAAAATACCCTCATTATTTAAACAATTAAAATTTTCCGACGAAATTTGGCCGGCAATTTGGCTGGAGTGATAAAAATTGACAAAAATTGCATAGTTAAAGTACTAAATTGACACTTTTAAAAGTTAAGGACTGAAATTAACAAGACCCCTATAGTCATATGATCAAAATTGAAATTTTCTCTAATTTAAATTTTTAAGTTAATATCACTTAATCACAAAATCAGCAATAATATTTGTAAACTATAATCCACAAGGTTTTAATCCGTGAGACGAGTCAAATCTTTGATTAATGGGTCAAATTATAGATTAATGAGCCAGATCTTTAACCGCATTAATAAAAGATTCGACCCGTCTTACGAATTGAAATCCGTGAGACAATCTCATACAAGTTTTTGTCATTACATAATCATATACACAATTTTTATTATTAAAAATTATTAGTTTCAAACATTCATCATCCATCACGATCTCTAAGAACTAAAAGTCAAAAAACCATCCAGATCTTATGCTTATAATTGTGCTCGTGGACCCTCTCTCCAACACTTGTTCTAATCATAGATGTACTTAGTCTTTAAAATGTAAGCATATAATTCAGTCATTGGGCCCACATGCCGTCAAAAAACGTCGTTACGTGGCAGCCATAAGATGACCTAAATCCACAAGGGTTTTGCCACATGGACAATTCACTATGCAGATGACACAAGTGGAGAATGAGAATCGCAACCTTAATCGTATATTCTTATGCACACAACACAAAGATGATTATATTAATCCCATGATTAACTAATAATTAGCCTTTAAAGATTTACCTCTTATTGAGTTCTTAAGAAAGTTCTATTAGGCCGAAGTGTGGAAGACCATTAGGGTTGAGGATTCAATTACCTTTTAGGGGAAAAAGAATAATGATCATGAATGGCCTGAAAGGAATTGTAAACTGAATGTAACATGATTCTCATTAATATTATTTTGTTTTTTGAAATATTCATGATTCTTTATAAGGTAGTATCTGTTCTATATTTTCTCAAACAATTTCAACTCAAAGAATCTAAACCTACATCATCAGAGTTTGAACCTACTAAGTTAATATTTTTTGAATGCTACTAGCTCTATTACAATGTAGTATCTGTTCATATACTTTCTCAACCTACTGACCTACTAAGTTAATATTTTTTGAATGCTACTAGCTCTATTACAATGTAGTATCTGTACTAGCTCTATTACAATGTAGTATCTGTTCATATACTTTCTCAACCTACTGAAACACAAGTAGTATCTGTTCATATACTTTCTCAACCTACTGAAACACAAAGAGCTAATAACGCCTACAAAGTAGTATCTGTTCATATACTTTCTCAACCTACTGAAACACAAAGAGCTAATAACGCCTACTATGTAGTATCTGAGCTAATAACGCCTACAATGTAGTATCTGTTCATATACTTTCTCAACCTACTGAAAAATGTAGTATCTGTTCATATACTTTCTCAACCTACTGAAACACAAAGAGCTAATAACGCCTACAATGTAGTATCTGAGCTAATAACGCCTACAATGTAGTATCTGTTCATATACTTTCTCAACCTACTGAAACACAAAGAGCTAATAACACCTACAATGTAGTATTTGTTCATATACTTTCTCAACCTACTGAAACACAAAGAGCTAATTAACGCCTACAATGTAGTATCTCTCAACTTACTGAAACACAAAGAGCTAATTAACGCCTACAATGTAGTATCTGTTCATATACTTTCTCAACCTATTGAAACACAAAGAGTTAATAACGCCTACAATGTAGTATCTCAACCTACTGAAACACAAAGAGTTAAAAACGCCTCCACTGATAACGCCTACAATGTAGTATCTGTTCATATACTTTCTCAACCTACTGAAACACAAAGAGCTAATAACACCTACAATGTAGTATCTGTTCATATACTTTCTCAACCTACTGAAACACAAAGAGCTAATAACGCCTACAATGTAGTATCTGTTCATATACTTTCTCAACCTACTGAAACACAAAGAGTTAATAACGCCTACAATGTAGTATCTCAACCTACTGAAACACAAAGAGTTAAAAACGCCTCCACTGATAACGCCTACAATGTAGTATCTGTTCATATACTTTCTCAACCTACTGAAACACAAAGAGCTACTGAAACACAAAGAGTTAATAACGCCTACAATGTAGTATCTCAACCTACTGAAACACAAAGAGTTAAAAACGCCTCCACTGATAACGCCTACAATGTAGTATCTGTTCATATACTTTCTCAACCTACTGAAACACAAAGAGCTAATAACACCTACAATGTAGTATCTGTTCATATACTTTCTCAACCTACTGAAACACAAAGAGCTAATAACGCCTACAATGTAGTATCTGTTCATATACTTTCTCAACCTACTGAAACACAAAGAGTTAATAACGCTTACAATGTAGTATCTCAACCTACTGAAACACAAAGAGTTAAAAACGCCTCCACTGATAACGCCTACAATGTAGTATCTGTTCATATACTTTCTCAACCTACTGAAACACAAAGAGCTAATAACGCCTCCACTGAGGCTCAAACTCACAACCTTCCAAATAGAAGTTCAACCCGAGTACCATTGGACCACATAGTCCTGGTAACTAAGTTAATATTTAGTTTTAAAGGAAAATAAAAGTTTTTCTAAATAAATATATAATCAACGAAAATGGAAAATGTGCCTTTACTTTTATACTTTCTTCTAGACAACTTTAAATTGCAAGTAGTGTGCGCATTAAAATAACTAATAAAATAGTGGGACATGTCAAGCCTTATATGGATATATAGTATATACAAATTTGAACTACCATAGATACAATTTCTAAAACCCATCCGAGCTACCACCCAAAAAACTTATCCTTGCATGTCTAGTTTTGGTGAGTACTTACGGATTATATTATAGTTCTCATTTCTGTGTTGATATGATATCAGCGCTGCACTATGCTTACATTCAAATGTGTCACCCTGTTTACATTCCAATATGTCAGTTATTCAAGCACGCTTAATCACAAAATTCTTTGACTATCTGATTATCATATTCTATTTAAAATCAATTGATGACAAGTAGATGGACATTAACCATTTAATCACATTCTACTTATTTATAGTTGCTCCTTAGCTCCTCTCTATCTTCTTCAGCTTTCTTCAACCGCAAACTTTAATCTTCACTCTTCACCAAGCAGTAGCAGCCTGCATTACTGCTTGTGCGCCATAGCCCACACCTCCGAAGCTAGCAGGACAATTGCTAGCCAGCAAGGATTACGAATATAATACTAATATTATCCGATCCGTTGTTCTATTATGCAGCATAAGAATGCGTTCATGAATCAAAATAAAAACTTAACTACAACCCTACAATAAGGAAACAAAGCGAAAGAAATTTGAGAGAAACAACCAGTTAGAAAAGGGTATTTGGATCTATAGATCCACAGGATAACATTAATCATAAAAGAAACCTGCCTCGTGGAATGTCACCTATAAAATATAAAAACTATTGTTGCATTCTTTAATGCATATTATATTTATTTAACGTATTAATCTTATATACTGTCAATTAATCAAATATATCACGTAATTAATTAACCCGAAATGAAAAAGTTGACTTTTCGATCTATATTAAATATTTTTTTTTTTTTGAAAACAATTAAATGTTTACTTAAGGACTAAAAATTGGTGGTAAGCCAAAACGAGTGGTTTTATGCTGGCAATTGTGTGTTCCTTATTTGTTGTTTAATTTCTTGCGTACTCTAGCTTCAAAGCATAGGTGTTGCGGAGAAGAGGACTGGTGGTATACAGCATGAACTTATATAATGCAATTCATATGTAGGCAGCTTATAGGTTGAATAACGTGAACATTGGCGCAAATTAAGGCTCTAAATATCGTTTATTACTTTTATAATTGTCCTAATCAATGCCATATTTTTTCTTGAAAATCATTTTCTTACATTTTTTAAAACAAATCAAGGTTAATTTTTTTTTTTGTTTAATTAATCCTCTTTTAATTATTTAAAAAACACTGAATATTTTGATTATGATTTTGCATTATCGGGAATAATTTATGTTATTAGTAGATTAATAATTTTTGTCCGTATTTCTATAATGGTACAAATTTACATTACTTTACAAATATTATACTATTATTATTTTTATCGGACAAAATTATTTTTACATAATTAATTTTCCACACACACACACACACACACACACACACACACACACACACACACACACACACACACACACACACACACACACATATATATATATATATATATATATATAGGGCCGCGTTCAGGTGCGGATAGGTGTCCAGGAGAGAAATGCGAACCAATCAGCGCGCGCCACGTGTCAGCATTCATTGATCGGGGGCATCTACTTTCACCTAGAAGTGCACCTACTTTCGCCTGCAAGTGCATGTAGTTTTTGCCTGCATTCATTGATCGGGTGCACCTACTTTCACCTACAAGTGCACCTACTTTCGCCTCCAAGTGCATGTAATTTTGCCTTGATCTGAGTTCGTTGTGTTTGGCATCGTTTTTGTTCTTGCCAGGAGTTCAGCGGGTAGTAGTACCCATAAAACCACCCGCAAACATTCATTCACCTAGGTACAACTACTTATAACTATAGGTGCACTTAGTATTGATGCTCAGTGTAAATTTTACTTGCACCTATATTTGGCGTTGAATTTCATGGGTCGTTATATCATGCACCACGGTGCATAATCGATTATGCACCACACATCAAAACGGAGTGACACTACAGAGTATCTAAACCGACACTACCTCACGTATTATTTTTATATTATCAAATGAAACTGCAGTTATATCAAAATGATATTGTAGTTGTGGTGAAATGAAACTGCAGTATATATAAAATGAAACTGAATAACACTTCACATATTTGAGTGTATATTGTACAATGAATCTGTAATTATATTGAAATGATCATGTAGTTGTGTTTTAATGAAACTATCGTGTATAAAATAAAATTAAATAACATTTTCACATATTTGAGTGTATAAATATTGAATGAAACTGTAGTTATATCGAAATGAAACTGTAGTTGTGTTGAACTAAAACTGCAATGTATACAAAATGAAACTGAAGAACAGAGTTATTTTTTGCGGATTCCGTTTTTTTTTTTCATTAAAGAAAACGACGAGTATAAAATAAAATTCAATAACATTTTCACATATTTGAGTGTATAAATATTGAATGAAACTGTACTTATATCAAAATGAAACTGTAGTTGTGTTGAACTGAAACTGCAGTGTATACAAAATGAAACTGAAGAATAGAGTTATTTTTTGCGGATTCCATTTTTTTTTTCATTAAATAAAACGACGTCGTTTTGATGCGCGGTGCGTAATTGATTATGCACCGTGGTGCACGATATAATTTGCTGAATTTCATAAAGGATAGCCATAATTTCCAAATAATCGGCGGCAATTTCGATTTCGGCCCGAGATGCAATTTCAGTCCAATTTTGCACAGAATTCTTATTTCCACTAGGATTGGTTCTTGACTTCTAGCTATAAATAATCCCACCTTGCTCAACCCTAATATTCATTCAGAGATCTCTGGAGACACGAAAGAGGAGAAAATCAAGAGCCACGAGTCGTCTTGGGAAGCAAGAAAAAAGCTAAGGAGATTTGAAAAAATTGCTTGGTTCATTCTTGTACTCTCTTTGATGATTTGTAATTCTTTAAATATATTTTCTATGTATAATTTAGCATGCTTGGTTGAATTCTTTAGAGATTCTCGGGTAAAAGTGTTTATAAACCTATGTGCCGGAGCTCTCAGATTTTTTAATATATTATTATTTAGGTTTAATACTTGTGTTGCAATTGTGTTTATCATTCTTGTTGCTAGTAGTTTAGGGCCCGAATTACTTGCTTCATAGCTTTGTCTGTGTCACAACAAAAGTTGGGCATAACTTAGGGCGCACACAATTGCACCTAACTGTTGCACCTTGAGACATGATAATTTTGTTAGGGAGTTTAATTATTGATTATTGCACATCGAGAGATGGTAGTAGTTTGGAATTTTTTATGATGCCTATTCTCGTTCTTATTGGGTGTTTATACCACGAGAGTGGATATTCACTTGTGTTAGTGACTACAAGAGTAGCTCTATAGCACTTTGCATCCTCACACCCGTTTAAACCCAGATTTAATATTACATTAGGTTATGCACTAGGGGATTAAACACTTAAATCCCAGGAATCTCATTCTCTCTCTCTATTGTTTTCAAAACCTGAATCATTGCTTTAATTTATTTATTTATTTGCATCCTTCACCCATAACATTAGGATTAGCTTCTCGTGAATAAATTAGTAATTGGTGTTTAATACCCCACTTCCCTGTAGATCGATAACTCGTTATTCAGAGTTTATTTGTTTGAAAATATACTACAATCAAATTGGCGCCGTTGCCGGGGAAGTGGCGTTTAGTATTAACATTAGTGAAATCTTTATTCTAGGAGTCTAGTCCATTTTTATTTTATTTTGGCTAACGGTTAACGAGTTGTTCTTGTTGAGTGTGATTTTTTGCTTTGAATCTAAGTAATTGGTTTTTATGCGCACGCGATCTTCGGGAAGTGAAGGATTATTGCCTTTAAACCCTGAGATCGAAAAGCTAGCCAGGTTACTTAGAAAACAGAGATGGATGATACGAGTACAAGGAAACCAAGCTGAAGAAAGATCAATGTCTGACTACCTTGCTCCGAATGTGGAGGAGTATGGTAACATCAATATTATTCCAGATGTGGAGGCCAACAACTTTAATTTGAGATCAAGTCGGACATACTCAATATGGCTGCTTCGGATCCATTTGGAGGGTCACCCACGGAGGATCCCAATGCTCATGTCATAAAGTTCCTACGACTTTGTGGCACCTTCAAGATGAATGGAGTCACTCAAGATGCTATTAGACTAAGGCTTTTTCCTTTCTCACTAAAGGACAAGGCTGACGATTGGTTATCCTCACATCCAGATAACCATTTTGACACTTGGAGAAAATTGCATGGAGAATTTTTGAAGAAGTGTTATCCTATCTCCAAGACTCAAAGGATGAGAAGGGAAATTCAAAACTTTAAACAATTGGCAACTGAGTCCCTAACTGAGTCTTGGGAGAGGTTTAAGGAGTTGAAGAGGCAGTGTCCACACCATGGATTTTTATGAGGGGTTGCTCGATAGTTCTAAAATCTTGGTGGATGCTTATTCGGGTGGTTCATTCATAGTTCTGGAGCCAACACAAGCCGAGGAACTATTGGAGATGATTGCTATGAATGGGTCTACTTGGTACTCGGAGAGGTCTCCACAAAAGCTTTAGGAGGAATTCATGAGGTGGAGCAATTAACCGATTTGTCAACAAAGATGGATAATGTGGTTTCCATGGTTCAAAAGCTTGCCCAAATCACCGTTCAAAAACACAATGTGAGTCATGTTCCTACACCTCCTTCTCCCTTGGGACAAGTTTTGATGTGTGATTTCTGTGGTGGTGGACATAATTTGGGAGAATGTCTCAACGATTTAAATTCCCAAAACCCTATGGAGCACATTAATTTGGTGGGATATAATAGGCCGCATCAACAATCTTTCCAACCTCAAGTGACCTACAATCCTAATAATTCTAGGAACCACCCAGAACTTTCATGGAGTAACCCGATGGGGGCTGCCAATCCTCAACACTTTGCCAATAGAGGACCACCGGGCTTTCAATCTCAATTATTCTCAATCAACTACATTGGAGGCTCCCTCACAATCAAACTTGGAGGCCATGATCAGCTTGTTATTAAAATCCCAAATTCAAAGTGATGAAAGGATCAAACAAATGTCTGAGAGGTTGGAACAATTGAGTGCCCATAACAAGATGCTTGAAAATCATCTTGCAAATCAAGCTTCTACATCTAGCACCAGAGTAGAGTCACAGGGAAGTTACCAGCCAGTACTGAAAATCCCAGGGAGCTTGTGAATGCAATTGTTACAAGGAGTGGCAAGGTACTTGAAGAGTCGTCTCCTCCAACCAAAGCATCAATTCCAAATAGAACTGTGGAGGAGAAGATAGAAAAGATACTTGAGAATGAAGAGGTTGAGCCAACTGCTGTGAAAAACAATGACCAAGTCATTGATGAAGGAAAGAAGCATGTGAGAAGGTATGAAAACCCCTTTCCCATCCCTCTACAAATTCGGCAGCAAGGAAAAGAAAGTAAATGGAAGAAATTTTTAGAAATAGTTGAAAATTTGAAGATTTTTGTCCCTTTACTTCATTTGCTCTCCCAAGTTCCCTCTTATGGGAAATTCTTGAAAGAAATACTTACTAGAAAGAGAAAATATGTGGAACATGAGATGATTGCAATGACACAAGAGTATAGGGCTTTGACACCAGGAGTTGGGAGAAGATTGACTAAATATAAAGATCCGAGGAAATTCACAATTCCTTGTATTGTTGGTGGCCGTCCTATAAAGGGATCTCTTTGTGATATTGGAGCTAGTGTCAGTGTCATGCCTCTTCACTTTGTAAGAAGCTAAATTTGGGAGATCCTAAACCAATCAAACTCACATTGTTCATGGCGGATCAGTCTACTTCAACCGTTGTTGGTATACTTGAAGATGTTCCAGTTCATGTGGACAAATATTTTGTCCCTGTTGATTTCATTGTAATAGATGCTCAAGAAAATCTAGACATTCCACTCATCTTGGGAGACCTTTCTTGGCTACAACCGGAGCATTAATTGATGCAAGGAAGGGAGCAATGATTTTTGACTTTGGAGAAGAAAAAGTGGAATTTAATGCTTTCGAGGAGAAAAATTCATGCAACATGGTACATCTAATGAGATGGGATGAGGACAACCTCGAGAATCAACCAGGATGAGCATTCATTAATGAGGTTACGTCGAGCTAACGACGTTAAACTTAGAGCTTCATGGGAGGCACCCCATGTTATTTTTTATTACTTTCCCATTTGTTGCTTTCTAGTTTCGTTTTATTTAGTTTTTATTGTTGTTTAGTTTCTTCTTATTTTATTATTTATTTCTTTTTAGTTCGTGTTATTTTTTCTCTTTCTTTTCTCTTGTTATCATTTCTTTTGTTTTGCATCAGGGACGATGCAAATTTTTGTGTGTGGAGGAGAAGTCAATAATTTGGGGGTAATTTTAAAATTTTTGCTTTTGCTTGGATGACTCATATGATATTTTTGGTGAATAAGTCACTTGTCTCACATGCAATTGCAATTACTCTCTTTTATTGATTTGCGGTTTGTTTTAGTGGTGCTTGCTGCATCTGAATTTGTGATTGATGATTTGAGGTGTAACACATAATTGATTTATTCTCATGCCAATAGCTTTATTAACCACTTAATAATTTGATTAATTCTTGATCTTGTGTGTTATGCAGTGCTAGTGAAGGCTTCTGTGAGATTCTGGTCATGGGTGTTTTGCTAGAACTTGCCTCATTACTCCCTAAGTGAAGTCTAAGTTTTGCATGTTTTGAAGTGATTTAGGCCATTTTTGTTTAGCCATGACCTTTAAACCTGTCCCTACATATGTTTTATCCTTTGTGTCCCCATTGTGCCTTTCGTTTGTTTAAATAAGTGCTAAGCACTTATCCCCTCATTGTGATTGTTTTTCTTGTGTTACTGTAACACCCCGTGTTACGACCTTCAATCCCGGATTAATTATTTAATTAATTCCGTTAATAATAATTAAATATGATTTAATTATGTTAGGTTTACCTTTAATTAATTAGTAAGGTCCACCATGAACCGTGGACCCTTGCCCGAATAAGAATCTTAAGCCTGTTAGGAATAAAGGAAGTAGGCCTTTTACTATTCAGATTATGATTAGGATCCTCTTTAATTAATATGGTCCACTATGGACCATGGAGCCTTATCCCTAAAACAAGCCCTAGCCCTATAAGGAATAGAATTAGTAAACCCATACCATTAAGGCCCTAACTAGGAGTCTTAAATATATAAATAGGGAACTTAGGAGGCACCTAGAATCCCCCACAAGAATAACGCCCCACCACCCCAAAAGAGCCCCAAGAATCCCCTTAGGAGAAATCAAGAAAGCAAGGAAGCTTAAAGAAAGATCCTTCATAGCGAAGGAATTAATTAAGGCTAAGAGGTAACCCATGTCTCAACAAAACTTATTTTCATAGCTATGATTCCCCCTTAGGGTTTCCCCCATATTATTGTGTATTGGCGAGATATGATGATTATTATTGATGTTTGATGTGATGATCCCATGAGGGATCTTGATGATCTTGATATTGGAAGATTCTTGATGATTATGGAATTCTTGATGATTATATAGAGTTCTTGATGATTATGTGTTGTTCTTGATAATTGTGTGATGCTCTTGATGTTTATGTGTTATTCTTACTGAATCTTGCAATTAGAAGACGAACCGTATACTTGTTGATATAAAAGTGATTAGAACCCTAGGTTGTATCGTATGATCTTATTCTTGGATTATCGGGTGGGGAAATCGCATGTTTGGGTGTTGATTATATTTAGAAAAGCATGATAGGTTATGTGCCGTCCGTTTCTTGTATTTGATTCGTTAATTGTCTACGTGTTGTCGTTAATTGCGTTGTAAAGTGTCTAAGCATGGTTTCGGGTTCCACAACGGTTCCCGGGGCGTAAAGTGATGAAAAGAGTCAGTGGGGGGTAGGGGACCCGCCACCTACCCACGACCGAGAAACACCGCCCGGCAGCGGGTAGCCGGCGGGCGGGCAGTTGCCCGCCGGCGACCCGCTGCCCGGAACAGTATTATCCGGCGGGCAGCCGGCGGGTGGCCCCCCACCCACCGGCTACCCGCTGGAAATTCCCCCACCTTGGGTTCCCGGCTTCCCCGTTTGATGTTCCCCCGTTCCCCGTGGTGTCCCAACGGACTCCGTTTATCGTGCCTATGTCTAGTTTGATGTTTCGGGTACCGTTCGTAGGTTTATGAGTCTATTATATTGCATGCTAGTTGAATTGGTATCCCGTTGACCTAGGTGGAAGGAGTATGAACCCCTTAGGACTATTCTTAATATGTGATGGATCACGCATAGGTTTTTGTTATGCGCTTTCTCCCCCTTCCCAATGTGTAATATGGGTTGCATGTGCTTGCTATGTGTTATGTGTGTGTGTTACCCCAATTCGGTTGCGATCGGATTGGTTATCCTGAGCTGCGGTTCAGAAGCTGGCTGCGGTCAGATTGATACTCTTGGGCTGCGGTCCACCGTTTGGTTGCGATCAAACGTTTCTATACGAGCTGCGGTTCGTCCTTTTTCCTGGCTGCGGTCAGATTACATTCTCTTGGGCTGCGGTCCACTGTTTGGTTGCGATCAAACACTATGATGAGCTGCGGTTCATCGGTCGGTTGCGATCGACCCCTCCGTGTTGCGATACGGGGCAGGGTGCTGCGGGGCCGTGTCAGAGCTATATGCGCTGACCCTCATGTATGGGCATGCGATTGGTCCTGTGGCGCCAATAAAGTGTGTTATGTGTTGTGACATGGACGAGTTGTGATTACGAGTGTCTTGGAGGATGTGACTATGGGATTTATATTGGGGATTGTTCATGTTGGGTTATGATCATTGTTTATGCTTTGTCTTATCTGCCTTATCTGTTGTGAACTGCATATGCTCGTTATAATTGTTGCTTGTGTCTGGCCTTACCTATCGAGTCATTCCCGGTTTTAAAGCTAGAGTTCGTAGGATATATCTTCATGTTCAAAATGGTTTTCGTATATCTATATATATCTCTATATGTATTGTATTTCAACGCGTTGGAGTGGGTTACCAGCATCTCTCGCTGAACAGATATATTTGGCTTTCAGGCACAGAAGATTAAGTCACTGGAGTGCGCTAGAACTTAGAAGTAGATAGTTTCCCTTTTGGCCTGCGTGCCACGTTTACGTATTTACGCTTTGAGGATATTAGTTAGTTAGCCTGTGCACTTGGGTTCTCTAGCCCAGGTGTGGCATAGCACCCCGAACGCTTGTATTTATATCTTGGGATTTAATAAGATTCTACCTTTATTATAAGTTTTAAATGTCTTGAAAATCTGGGGTGTTACAGTTGGTATCAGAGCTTAAGTTTGACCCTAGGATAAGACTCTTAAGACTGGACTTTAGGACACTAGGCTTGAACTCTAGGTACTTAGGAACATAGGATCCAGGAATCTTAGGACGCGCAGTGAGATTGTGAAACCTACACATATCCGCCCCTCACTTCATCCCTCTCTAACTTAAAGGAACCCCCCCCTACGCTTACCACACCAGGTAAAGGTGCAAATAGAGAAGTTTACTTCCACAACTGGGTAACGTACACTTACCCGATAAATCGCCTCGTTCTAACTCCCGTCAAAAGACTTGACAAGGACCCTGACCAAAGAAAAGGAAGATTTGGATGACTACTAAGAAGAGGTGTTACAGTCAGGACTGCTAAAAGGGACGGACTGCAATACGCACCAACCCAGGGTAACCACGATAACCCCCGAGTCAGACAAATGACATGCACCTTCCGACAAGTTGCCTTATCTCGGCAAACCCGGGTTGCGGCTACAACAAACAGAAAGGAGAACTAGGACACCTATTAAAGTAGCGAAGGAACGACACCATTAGTCGAATCCTTGGGTGCAAGGTAAGTATATCGCGACACCTTGCGACCCCACCACCCCAATCTAAAATATCATCCGCCCTGAAACCCCAACATCTTGATACCCCTATTTGTTGAAAACTCCCACCCCGAATCCTTAATTACCTTAAGAGCAAATTCGCAACCGTTATGACCTTGCTCACCCTTTGTTGCGCTTAACCCAAACCCTCGGAAACCCTAAATTGTTATTGCCCTTACTCTAAGTTCATATCCCCACTCCGTTTGGAAACCCTGTTAAAAACCGTAGAGCAGCATAAGGCCCTTACCCTGCCCAGGGGCGTGAAGAACTGACATTCATTGATTCAATATTAAAATAAGTTGTTAGATAGGAATCGGCGAAGTAGGTGGAGGTTACGAATACGTATCACCCCACCCTTACACGAAAACCGTGAAGGCTTCACGAGAAACCATAGCCTGTACGTACGCCACCGAAAAACGCCATGCGTTGACAAGAGCGGGCAAACAAATACGTTCAATGTGTCAGGGGCTCTCGCTACAGAAAACATCATCAAATAGGTGCAACAGGCCAAACCTCAAGGAGGACATAAAGCCTTGCTAAGAATTTCATCCACCAAGGAAGGGATGAAACCCAATAGAACAAGAAAGACTAACTCGAAACCCCCCTTACCCTTAAGAACCCTCGGCAAGGATTAGGAGTCAAGACCTAGGGGTTTGACCCACTAAACCGACTGGGTCCAGACTTCTGGACATCCGAGGGGAACGTGCACGGAAACCATCACGAGAATTCCCCTGGAAGCCATAGAGACGAAGGGGACTTCGACACGGGAAGAGAAGATCAAATGAAAATCTTAGAATCAAACAAAGCCAAGGAAAAGGGATCACCAGTTCGACTGCACGCCACAACCAAGCCCCAAACAGGCATA